AAAAAAGAAAAGAAAAAAAAACACAATACAAAATTGCTGTGTGGGTTTTGAAACTTCTGCTACAGTCAAACTAGAATCGCATTGAGCCTCAGACTGAGACAGGTCAAGTCAAAGACCAAGCGTAGATAACACGTACTGTACTTTCACTTGAAAATAAAGCATTGCTTTTTGCCTTCAATGCATTCACAAGTTTGATCCTCGACAGCAGTATCGATGCATTTTTCACTTAGCGATCAAGAAATAAAGCGTACTTCTTTTTCTGAAAACGTAGATAGGCTTTCTCTTTTATTGACAAAAACTGCAGCAGAATAAATAGGATATTATGCCTACACAATGTACTTCTCTCAAACGAAAAATGTTGAATGTATCCCGAGGGCTTTTATGACCTTATTGTGTTGCAAGTGCAGTAAAACACCTACTAAAACAAAGAAGAAACAATAATGCTGGGCCAAGGGTTCCAGGATTACTTCCCTTCGTTCCCTTCGTCGTCTGTCACCTGCCCGTTTGACATGAAACGAGGTCACCGCATCATCCGGGTCCCCAGGGCTGAACTCGCTTCCTCGGTTTGTTTGTGTTTTCAACTCATTCATGGCGGTCTACCTGTGTGGGGACGTGATGTGGCACATGTGTTGAAATTTCCCTTTTCTGAGTTCATTTTCTGTGTGGACATACGGACCAAGTGCTGTACTCATTTCGATTTTTCAAAACATTTACGTTTTACAGGTAATTTGTCAATAGTTTTGCTCGGGGTTGCTGTAGATCCATGAAATTGCTTGACTTGTCAGTTGTCGTATCCTCTGCTGACGTTATCTTGACTATGATACTAACATCTATGCTAGCAGAGGAGTGTCTTACTTTGTAAGGAATTCCTGTAGCAATTCATAGCATAATAGTTCCGCAAATTATTCCAATCTTCACGATTTAACTCGATTAGCCTAACACAGTTTTGTACACATTTAAATTCGCCCGAGTTAACGGTGGTAGCCTGTGGCTTGTGGCTTCACTTTGGTATTCATACAGGCTTGGCTTGTAGCCTACTTGTATCCCCACCTGACGGACTCGACTTTCACTTTAGCCACACAGCCCGCCCACTGCTCGTTTGTAGCGATGTCTTGGCGCGTATAATTTATAATAAGCTAGGCCTAGCCTAGCCTAAGTAACCTATGTAGCTCTAGGCTAACACTTCACATCTCAAATGATTCATATTCAATCTGTAATAACAGGTAGAATCTAGATTATTTACATGATATATATCTAGATCTAGATCTAGATATATAGATCTAGGCCTACTGACACACCAGTCCAATGTCCAGTGAACTTATGTTTTAAAGGCTGAGATAAGATTTGGTATAAGTATTGTTTTTCTAATGAAATGAGACAAAAGTATTCTAGATCTAGAATCTAGATCTAGATCAGAAAGAGAGAGAGAAAATAAAGTCAAAGTGTGAGAGTGAAGAGAAATATTATAATGATTATATTTCAGTTTCTGCGCTTTCATTCGGTTCTACTGTTAGTTTGATTTGCAATCAGTTGTTTTGTAATAATGGGGGATGCCCAGTTTGTCACAATTTCATATTATAAGTATTTGAGTATAGATGACAGTCATATTTGCAGCACTTTTACAATCTATGTGCAACTTCAGTTTTTTTATTCTCCACCTTCAAATTGGTGGTGTAGAGATAGTCCCTCTAAAATGTCAATATTCAACTTGTGTTCTTCAATATCATATTTCTTCCTTTTTGTATGAAAATCAAAGAAAATTTAAATTACTCTGTAAAATTTAAAAAATGTATGTCCTTTCTTAAAAAAAAACAACTGAAAAATAAATTCAATTAATCCAATCAAGCAATCATTCATTTACTCTTTTTGAGAGTGTCAGTGATATTCCGTCATGCAGGGCACCGTCGGGGCCTGTGACAAACTGGCATGCTTTCTGTAATAATATAATGAGTGCCTTGGGTCATGATGAATTGACGAAGTTGAAGAAGTGGGTGTGTATTGTTTGTTCTAAAACTCTTTAATTGTTGTTTGAAAGGGACTTGCTTTTAATCTATTTGAACCTTTTTGTAGCAGTGTAGTTTGTACATTTTATGTACTCTAAGCTACCCTGTATTCATTTAGCTTACTCCTTAGGCTTGGATGAAGTTTGTATCTGGTGTCCTAAAAAATGGAGTTTTCTTATACTAATGCATGTGAAATAAAGACAAGCATATAATTATATAGGAAGTTCCTATTAGCGACGCCGCATTGCGATTAGTGCCAGTGTTAAATAAAATGGCGTGTCGCCGTGTGTAAAATATTAAGCTTAATCTGCACTTTGTTATCGGAAGTTCTGATGGCCGAAGTGACAGCACGTCTGCGCTTGAAGTCAAGCATCGCGCCGGTCAATAGATCGATGGCTATTCTCCGGCGTCCTGTATAGTTGCACATGTACATGTTGCTTCTCCTCTGCTTTCCATCTCCCCTATGTATGCCTTGCAGATTACTTATAATGTGGAATTCAACAAGATGACAAGTCTTTCATGCATCAAGGGCTAGAGTGATAAACACAAAACATAGTATGTTTTGTAAGGAGCTTTGATGCGAAACATTTTTTTCTTCAATTTGTTTCTGTACCTGATCCTTTTAACTACTTAAGAAACAGGTCCCAGAAGTAGGCTAGATTTTCTTTCATCTGTATCTTATTGTTGAACAATAAGGCTTTGCCTTACCAGCATTTGTGATGTAGTTGTTTCATGTTCAGGGAGGGCATTTTTTTGTAATTACTGTAACTTCGCATCTCTATTATTTTTTTTGGAATGTTACATTCCTCTCAGTGGGTGGTTGGCGGGTGCTCTGGTGTAGTTTGCTCCTTCTTTCCTGTCAAACATCTATATTTCTTTCTTATCTCTCCTCTTTTTTTTTGCGTTTGTTACTGTCTTGTAACACCTCTATTCATCGACACTTATATGACCTTATTGTGTTGCAAGTGCCATAAAACTCAAGCTAAAACAAATTCCTCTCAGCCAGGGAATTGACTAACAAACAGACAGGGTTGAAGTAGCCTGCCTCCTAAAAATGGTCCTGATCTTTCCTGAAGATGCACTTTATGTGGGTCACCACTGGGGTGTGTCATTGAGCAAGACATGAAACCCTTGCTAAAAACAAAACAAAACAAAGCAAGGCGCTGCACAATGGCAACCTGCAATGGTGTGTTTGTAGTAAATTATCTGTGTGTTTTAGTGTGTTTATCATGTATCTATGTATTTATATATATGTGTAATATGTTACACCGTGGTGAAACTTATTTTTTAAAATATCATGGTACCTCAGAGCGAACAAATGCTCCATGAAACGATGGATCTCTTATTATAAAGCAGAAATTATGAGTTGAAACACGTTACTGAGGAGGTCAAGTAGATGCCAGCATTGCCTGGGTGTTTTCCGCCACATGCAATATTAAAAATGAACATAACCAGACAGTTATTCAGGATGTGTACTGCTTCCATTTAACCCAGTTGTTGTTAGGAATCCATGCGTACTAACCATCGGTAAGTGGGTGGTTGGCGGGTGCTCTGGTGTGGTTTGCTTCTTCTTTCCTCTAAAAAAATAAATCTTCTCTGTCTCCCCTCCTTCTTTCCTGTGTTTGTTACTCTCTTGTAACACCTCTAATATGCGGCACTTATTTGACCTTATTGTGTTGCAAGTGCCGTAAAACTCTTGCAAAAAAAACAACCTTCGGTATACAGAGGAGTTAACAACAATGAAAGTTAATGGAATATAATTTGCTGGGGTTCTTAAGGAACATAAAAATCTTGAATAAAGTATCCTCTAGATAAGATGATCAATTGTTAAAATTCAAAGCTGTTTCATCTGATTACGTAATGAACATTAGTTTTTTTTTAAGCTTTTAAAAAATATATTCAGGAGAAGAATTGACGTAAAATGTTTTGTGCTGATGAAGTAAAATGGTTGATATGGTATCTCAATTTTTCCAAAAATATGAATTTTCACTATTTAAGTAGTGCTTTCTTTCTTTCTTTTTTTTTTTCTCTTTTTTTTTCGAATTAAGCCTTTGCAACTTCCAGAGCTTTTTCTTGACCACAGACACAATTAGGTAAAACAAAAAAAGTTATGGCTGTGCTTTGTAACTTGGGCCCCTTAGTGTCTTATTGTGGGTCTGAATTTCATTTATATATAGTTTTCAAAGAAGATTAAACCTTTTGTTTTGTGTTCTGTGGGTATTTTTCCTATTTACAGTATATATTAAAATATTTATAAAAACATGAAATTTATCCCCATTGAGAACAATTGATTCAAAATAGCATTTTTTATTTGTCTTTTCTATTATCCAATGTTTTGTGTTCAACTGTTGTGTAATGGCTTGGTTTTGAAATCTGAATTTTTAAGCTCTATTTGCTATTGGCAAGTTTATTTTTCTGAGATGGAGCATTGTACTTGCTGTAACTATGTAGTGCTTCTCTCCTCCCTAAATGTTTCTGAAGTTCTCTTGTTATTCTAGTGAAGGCCAGGGCCTTTCACTTTCACATTGCTATTTTTTTCCCATTTCATTGAAGAGGACTAGATGTTTGTATTATAACTCCACTCCACGCTCTACCAATCCCTGTATTTTTATTTTGAAATAAGTAAGTAAAGTTAAACTCTTACTTTACTTCTACTTTTTCTTTCCTCTGGTATCCTTAAGATGTCGAGTTGAGGTGCATGTTTCGGCCGTGTGCTAGGTGTGTGTAGCGTCTGTGATAGATATTGTTATGTTGTTCCAGGACCTTTTTAACCCCATCCTGCCAGGTCTTTCTTGGTCTTCCTCTTGATTTGAAGCCGGATTCTCGGGTGCTGTAAGCTCTAGCCCCTAGTTGTTTCTGGGGCATTCTGGTTGGATGTCCTAACCATTTGACTCTTTGACGCTCTATGAATTTTATTACTGGTGGTATTCCAGTTTGTAGGCGTTTGGTTTAGTTTCTTATGGGGTCTCTTCTGGGGATGTTGGTGGTTTTGCGGAGACACCTTTTTTCGCATGCATTGATTTTTCTTTCTTGTACCTTGTTTAGAGACCATGTTTGGTACTGGTACGTTAATGTTGGTATGAAGATGCTATTGATGAGCTGGGGTTTCACTTGGGTTGGGATGTTCTTGTCACTGAGCAAACTGTTGTAGATAATAATTTAGAGGTTTTCAGTTTGATTCATGAATTCTTCAGTTTAGTAGCCATAGTGCAACAGAACGATGTATTGTTGCTTCGTTATTATGCTGCTCCTCTGAGTTTTGAGAAAATGAAATAAGTGCGTCTACATACGAAAAGTAATAATGTATTTGTAAAATTTTTACTCTATTGAAGAAGGTCGAATGAGTCTCTTTAACTTCAATTTTGTAGTAAATTGACACATGGGTCGGCACTGCTGGGTGGTTGCGGGTGCTCTGGTGTGGTTTGCTCCTTCTTTCCTATCAAACATCTTTCGTCCTGATCTTTCCTCCTTCCTTTTTATATTTGTTACTCTCATGTAACACCTCTAATCTCCGGTACTTATATGACCTTATTGTGTTGCAAGTGCCGTAAAACTCTTACTGAAACTAAAAGGTCGGTACTGGTGTAGTACATTTCTTCTACTGTTCCCTTCATGTTTGGGATCACTCAGCTGAACACATTATGACTCATGCGCATGCTCGCACTTACAGACATTCGAATAGACACTCACTCTCGCTTACTCTTCGCACTTGATTCAAAA